CTGCTTGAAGCCCTTCACGTTGTGGAGGCCCGCCTTCATCTTCGTGATCTTGTCGTATTCGTCCTTGAGCGCTGCCTTCCACGAGAAGGATGAGCAGCAGCAAGAGCAGGAGGTGAAGCGAGGGGCAAAGGATGGGTAGGAGGCAGGAGAGGGAAAAAGGAAATGGGGAAAACAGCAGGTGAGGAAGGAGGGGCACAAGAAGGGAGATCAGGAGAAGGCGCAGCAGTGAACTAGGATGGGCAGGAGGAGGGGGGAGGGAGAGAGAGAGAGAGAGAGAGTGATAGAGAGAGAGAGGGACGAGGGAGGGAGCGGAAGAGGGAGAGGGGTGGAGGGGTGGAGGAGGAGGAGGAGGAGGAGGAGGAGGAGGAGGAGGAGGAGGAGGAGGTGGTGGGTGGGTGGGAGATTGGAGGACAGGGAGGAAGGGCAGGACGGGCGAGCGAGAGGGGGGGGGCAGGGGGGTAAGAGGAGGAGGAGGAGGGGGACGAGGAGCAGACCGCGGAAGGAGGGAAAGTGGGAGGAGGATGGGGACGACGACGAGAAGGAGGAGGACCAGTGTCCGCCGACACCCTCTTGCGGGGAGGTGAGCAGGCGTGTGAGATGGTTGGCTGTCCCCCTCCCCATTTCCCCCTGCCTTGTGGCCAAGATTCGCAGTGTGGGTGGGGGGGGGCGGGATGGGGCATGAGCTCCCCAGCGCAACCCAAGGGCTCTCCGGAGCCTCCAACGAGCTCTAAGACGGCCCAGTGAGCGCCGAGACAGTCCAGGGGATCGGCGAAACGTGCATTTTCGACATGCACGGCTTTTGGTGGTTTTCCCCGTGTCCACTGTGGCCCAATGAGCCCCCAAGATCGTCCCAAGACGGCACATGAGGCCTCCAAGAGGGCCCCAAGACGGCCCAGTAGTGGCCCAAGTGGGCCCAAGACGACCCCAAGACGGTCGCAGGGACCCCTATGACGGCCCAGGGGGGGCCCCAAGAAGGGCAATACTAACTGGCATCTCGAGTTTTTCCCGCCGTGATGGTCCCAAGAGCCACCCAGTGACCCCTGGGCCGCCCCCAAGAGGTTCTAAGAGGCGTCCCCAAGGCAAGTCGCACCCGAGAGGCCCCATTAGAGGCCCCTATCAAAGCCAACCGGATGTCCCCAAGAGCCCTCCAAGAGGCACCCGAGAGGCATCCCAGAAGACCCTCATATGCATCCCCGAGGCTCCTGACCCACAGGCCAGGCACGCTGGCACGTCTCTTGACGAAAATTCGCTGCTGTGGCAGTCGGCGGAATGGCGTGAGCCTCTCGAGCCCAAGACGCATCGACGACGGTGCAAGAAACCCGCCCTCCAAATTCCCCGTTTATCGGGCGCTGGCAGGACTGGGTTTAGTGGGACCTGGTTTAGTGACGTGTACTGGGGGACGTCCCCCCCGCCCCGTTCCACTAGCCGGAACTGCCGTCACCCGAAAAAACATGAGCTCGGCAGACCTGATTTAGTGACTCTGACCAATTTAGGGGCTCCGAGGCCCTACAACTAACCGGGTCTCTTTACCTGGGGTCCTGGCTATACCCGACCTTGGCAAGTTCCTGCAAAAATTAATCCGTCAGGGGTACGGGCTTCGCCCGCTGCCGCTGGCCCCCCCTTTACCAGAACGGAGGATAGCAGCGCCGTGCCGGAGTGTCTGGGCACCGTCTTGAAGACACCTGGGAGCACCGTGCGGGGACGGATAGGGTTCGGCAAAACAGACCGACATGTTGGGGCAATTCTTGAACCGCGTGCTGCATTTTTGGAGCGCTCGCCGGGCGAATCTGACGCAATTTGCAACGCAGAATCTGGCTTCGGAAGCGCGAAGATGGCGTAATGCACAAAAGTGATTCTGACCTCGGGAGCGCGAAATTTTCGAAACTTTGAAACAGGATCATGGCCTCGGGAGCGCGAATTCAACGTGTTGCCTGAAAGATTCTGGTCTCGGAAATGCGCATCTGGTGCAATGTGCGGAGGATTCCGGTCTCGGGAGCGTGAATCACGCGTAATGTGCGAACGGTTCTGGCCCTCTCGGGAGCGCGAGTCTGGTGCAGCGTACAAGTCTTATGGTCGCGGGAGCGCAAAATTGATGCAACTTGCAGAAACGATTCTTCCTTCGGGAGCGAAGACCTGGCATAGTTTATCACAGGATTCTGGTCTCGGGGTCGCGAATCTTGTGTAATTTTTGCGACGTACTCATTTTCGGCTCCCCCCCCTCGCGTAGACAGCAACGGTTTAACGAAGGAAGCAGGAAGTAGTACTATAGCATTGGGAACTGTAAACTGTCATCAGGAGCAGAACGCCTTCGCCGCGCAGCCTGTTGGCCCCACAATGGGGCCGGCTGATCGCATTGCGGGAGGTGCCCCCTTGAAAGACAAGCGCTTTTAAATCCCAATGATACCAAAACGCCGTCCATGGGACTTCAATGCTGCGAATCACTGTGACTGGTGACTCCTGACAATCGTCAACCATGCCCAAACATTCCTGGTACTTCAGCACCGTGGTCGACATGACTCTTGCGTCCTGACAATCCTAAACAGTAGCCAAACACGAACTTCAGCCATACGAATCATTGGCACCATTGCGAAATTGTGCGACAAATGTGCTCGGCGCAACAGCGAGAGCGACATGTTGGAAAAAGGCCGTCCTCTTTGACAAGGCTGCGAGCTTTTATGACGAATGTGCGCGGCACTAATGCGAGAGCCACATGTTGAGAACAACCCGCCCTCCATCCATGAAGCTGTTGCGTAGAACTAACGTGCACGGCGCTACGGCGAGAGTCACATGTTGAAACGGACCCGCTCTCCATCCGTGAAGCTGCTGCAACCTTGTGCGACGAATGAGCGCGGCGACAAGGCGAGAGCCATGTTTTGAAAACCAGCCGCCCTCCGTCCTTGAAACTGTTGCAAATTTCAGGACACAGGATCATAAATGGCGAGGGGGTCTCAAGCGAAACGCCCAGCCCGCCCTACCAATACGTCTGGTGGTGCGACCGGGAGGAGCTGTTTACAAGGAGCCGGGGTGGAGGAGGAGGGACAACAAGGAGAATGGGAGGGCACCTTGCCGATTAAAACCCCCAGGATCACCCGAACACCCTCCCCACGTACCACCCTCCCCACCCACACCTCCCACCCCATCCGCTTCACATTCCCACTCCTTCGCCTCTTGTCCTCGTTCCATCCCCTCCACTCCTCGTTACCTCATGTGGTGGGAAAATGAAAATGAGGACAAAGAGGAGATAATGGAGAAAGGGGGGGAAGAGGAGAAGAAGGAGGTAGAGAACAGAAGCAAGAGAGGGAGGCTTCCCGGCCTTCTCCGCAAGCTTCATCTGTTGTCTGAACTGCGCCACCCCGCCGCCATGTCTGGCCTGCGACTGCATTTCCTCCACCTCCTTGCTGTCAATCGCGGTGTCCGCGTCCTCGAAAAACTCCTTGTGGTAGCCCGTTGCGCGCGCGCCCACTGACCCCTCATCCCGAAGCTTTCTCCAGAAAGTGCCTGCACTGAAGGGTTCGCGTTTGCGCTCTGATGTTGTAACCCCGCGCGTTGAAGCCTGTCCACGGCGCAACTCGCCCCGATCCACTTGCCCTGGCCAGTTGTAAAATTCGGCTGGCCGCCAGCAGCCTCGTCTAGTCTCGACTGGTCGTTTGGCATGCCTCGTCTGGAAATCGACAGACCACGACCAGCCCCGACTACGGTCGGGAACTTTTGATCAACGTGTCGCGGCGGCGGCCCCGGCGACACGCTGTGCCCTGCAAGCGGACAGCGCGCCGCTCCGCTGCGCGGGGCGAGAGGACAGACAAGGCTCGGGACGTCGACCCCCGGGGACCGGGGAGTGAACAATGATGGGCTTGTGTTCCACTACCACTACCATAAGTGGGAGGGGGGGAGAAGGTCCTCCTCCTCCTCCTCCTCCTCCCTCCTCCCTCCTCTCCTCCTCCTCTTCCTCCCCCTCCTTCTCCTCCTCCCCCTCCTCCTCCTCCTCCTCCTCCTCCTCCTCCTCCTCCCTCCTTCCCTTCCCCTCTAACTTATGGTAGTGGTAATGGAAAAAACAGGCCCATCAAACAACGTGACGCGCGGAAGCGTGGTGGGCAAGAACCAGCGAAGCGGCACGCTACCCCAAAGTGCCCGACCGTGTCCCAGAGGCGGGGGAGTTGGGAGCTCGGCTGGCCTCGCCTCATCCTGCAGAATAAGCCCGACTGGCCGCCTGCCCTGACTTTTCGGGTCTCGGGTCATGTTGCTCCCGTCATGCTTAAGGACCACGTCCCAGAAATACTTTCGGGTACCGCGAACAGTACCGAAACAGTGTCGAACAAGTATCGCCTCCCAGGCCCGACACGTGAAAACCCTCCAGTTGCGGTAGTTTCTCGGTGCTCGAAATTCTTTCTAGTGATCAAGGCTAAGGTAGGTTGGAACATCATAGGTCTAAAAGATTGGCCAGGCTGTCGGCCACCCTCCCCAACTGGTCCTGGGAACCCGTTTCTCTCGGCGCGTCGGGAGCTCAGTCGACCGCCATTCGCCCTGGTTCGACTGGGGCTCCGCTGGTCGCAACTCGCCCCGACCGGCGCCGAGAGGCCGCTCGCCGTGGCCAGTTGGGAATCCAGCCGGCCGCGAGTCGACACGACCCGCCCCGCGTGGCTGCCGGCCCTGGTTTTTTGCCGCTCCGTGGGACGCCAGCAGCCCTGACGGACCCTGGGTGGCCGCCTGCCCAGGCCCGTGGGGGCACCGCAACGGCACCCGTTGCAGCCGAGCAGCTCCCTGCTGGATCTAGGTAGGGCACGTCCCCCTGCAGGAGGATGCTGAAGGAAACATAACAAATAGTCAAAACAAGCTCAAGCATAGTCCTGCGATCGTCCCCAGGCTATGCTTTGAATCTGTTCGACTGCTCCTCCCGTAGAGGGACATGCCCGACCTAATGCCAGATCTGGCTCCCCAGATCACCGCACGCGTGTGGCTACTACTTTCGCTGGTTGGGGGTCGACCCGCCCGCAGCACACAAGAGGAACGCGCTCGGGTCTTCACAGTGAGGCATCTAGCGAAAACGACATGAACTCTTGGGACGAGTCATCGCTCTGGCATCGTCTCTCAACAAGTCTAGAACGCTTCGTCTTTTCCTTCGAGAAGCGCCACGGATGAAATCAATTGCTTGCCTTAGGAGGGAAGGGCCACGAGATCGTTCGAACCGCCCGTCCTTGTTCGCCCTTCCAATTGCTAGACCTTGCAGGTCTCCCGTCACCCACCTGGCTGGTACTGAGAGTACATTATGCTCCTCATCCTGCTCCTCATCTCATCCTTCCCCACCCCCCCCTCCTGCTCCTCTCCCTGCTCTAACTCTTTTCGTCCTGCTTCCCCTCCCATCTTCCGCTCGGCCTACTCAACATCCTTCTATTCCTGTTTCCCCTCTTTCTGCCCCGACCCCATCTCACTGCTTTACCTCCTCTTCCTCCTCCTCCTCCGCCTCCTCCTTCTCCTCCTAACTCTGCTGCTCCTCCTCCGCTTCCCTCTCAGAGCTCAGACCAGAGCTGTAGACTGTCTCGGTCTGTGGCCCGAAACCTTCGCCTCCTCCCTGCCGCACCGTCTGGTGGGCAGGGAGGGGGTATTCTTAGGTCGGGCATGTCTACAGACGGATTTTGGATGGAGATTTAAAAATAATCAAAAAAACAAGAATTGTAAAAAATGCTCGGAGAATCATACCCGGACTATTTTTCAACTATTTTTGAATATTCCTCCTGTACAGGGACAGGCACGACTTAGAGCTATTCTGGAGGCGGCTCGCTTTCGAGGTCAACGAAGCGGGTAAAGAAGAGGGAAACGACCAGCACGGCGGGGCCTACGCGAGGATCCTCCTCTTCCCGCTCTTCCGCCTCCTCCTCCTCTCCCTCCTCCTCCTCCTCCTCCTCCTCGTCCTCCTCCTCCTCCTCTTCGTCCTCCTCTCGGGGGGGCGAAAGGGTAGAATAGCAGAGGGAGGGTAGAGAATCAGCTCGCGCAGCCGGTTTTCCTGGCGCCTCCTGGCGCCGGGAGGCGCCCACTTGTCGAGGAAAAGGACCGGCAGCGGGGCCGAAACCAGCCGCATGCGGCAGATGTTCGTTGACATCCACGTCCACGCCTCCTCAACCCAGGACTTCACCTGTGGAGTATATCTACAGCGGAGGGTGGTGCAGGGCACGCCGGCAGACATGGCTGCCAGCCTGGAACAAAATCGACCCGATCCTGAGCCCGATGCCATCCCGCAGTCCTCCCCGGGGTGGCGTGAGCCGCCCCCTCTCCTTATGAGAGCGGCGGACGCTCGCCGGAGCACAGCACGGACGCTTCGGCGATGGCCCCCCTGGGACGAGCTGGCTGCAGGCGCGGGTGCCGACGGGCTGCGGGCGCAGCGGGACACGCAGTCTAAGAAGCCGCCTGTCCAGGCTCCCTCTGCGCAGCCGATGGCACACCCAAGGTCCGAACCAGATGTTCTGAAAACAGTATAGATACACACATAACTGCAATCAGCTCAGCGCAGCCTCTGGTAACCGACGGTGGGTCGCTTCAGCGAGGCCCAGGGGGGGCGAAGTATTCCCCAGATGAGTGAAGAACCCCGCACATCTTATGTACACGAGTGTACCAGTTAGAACCAGTTTTCCGTCGTTGCGCAACGAGACATGAGCCAGAGTGAGCGTAGAAACCTCATACGTTGATTTGAGGCCGGCTGTTCCAAGCTCCATGAATAACAACGTAAACTGGCAAGAGCATGAGGCAAATCTGTACAAGAGAAGGAGGACAAGGAGGAGGAGGAGAGAAAACAAGCTCAAACAGAAACTCGCGCGTGCGTAGGCCGACCTAGGCAGACGGCACCCGCACAATGCCCCACGCGAGCACGAGCGATACAAAAGGGGGACGAAGGAGGGGAGAGCACGGAGCGAGAAGGGAAGACACAGTCCAAGAACTTGCGCTGGTTGTTTAAAGGGTGTGCGCGGCAATGCCTGCCCGAACCCTGCCGCATGCAGCAGATTTCGTACCCCTCCCCCTTTCCTTTTCTACCCTGTCGTCCGGCCCGATCCTCCGTCTCATCTTCCTCCCTCTCGAGAACGGCGTCCCTGCAGAGTACCACGTTCGGGACCCCTTGGTGCCTCGGGTCGGGCGAAAGGGGGGGATAGCAAAGGGGGGGTTTGAGAATCAGCTCACGTAGCTGATTTTCCCGGCGCCTCCCGGCGCCAGAGGCGGCCATGTATCGAGGAATGGGCCCCTCGGTGAGGCCGAAACCAGCTGCATGCAGCAAATTTCGTAACCCCTCCTTCCCAATCCCCCCCTTTCGCCCGACCCGAGTGGCCGAGCTGAGAGGCCGAACCACTGTGCACCCCTGTCGTCCGGCCCGATCCTCCGTCTGAACTTCCTCCCTCTCGAGAACGGCGTCCCTGCAGAGTACCACGTTCGGGACCCCTTGGTGCCCCCCTCCAGCGTGGTACAGAGCATAGCTTCTCGGCAAAGAGGCCGAGCTGAGAGGCCGAACCACTGTGCACCGGACCGTTCCCGGGTCGAGGAACGGCGCCTCGAGAGGCGCCAACGCGGCACGGGCACACACGTCGTCCGCGGATTCTCCTCCTCCTCCTCATCCTCCTCCTCCTCCTCCTCCTCCTCCTCCTCCTCCTCCTCCTCCTCCTCCTCCTCATCCTCCTCCTCATCCTCCTCCTCCTCCTCGTCCGCGGATTCTCCTCCTCCTCCTCCTCCTCATCCTCCTCCACGTCCCCTTCCTCCTTCTCGTCCTCCACCTCCTCCCCCTCCGTTTCTCGATTGGTATCGCTTGCTGGCCAGAATCAGTCGTGAAAAAGGCAAGCGCTCCACACAGGCCGGCCTCCGCGAAGGCAGAGGAGGGTTGGGGAGGAGGACCAGGAGGAGGAGAAACAGGAGTGGGAGGAGAAGGGGGATCATGAGGCGGGGGAGTGGGAGGGGGAATGGGAGGAGAGCAGCAGACGGAACAGGAGACGGAGCGACACTGGCCAGCAAGGGAAGGGCGGACAAGGGAAGAAAGACGATGCGAAGAGACAAGGTGTAGAACATGCAGCAAAAGAAAGGATGAAGTCCGCTGCCCTTCAAGGGGGCTATCCCGACATCGGACAGCAAGGCCCACCACGGCGAACTAATGACAAACGCCCGCATTTCCGCCCAAGCGGAAAGCGAACATAAACCATGTTTGGCAAGTAACGGAGCAGGAGAGGGAGAGGGAGAGGGAGGATGATGGGGAGTAGCAGGATGGGAGAGCAGGAGAACACGAAGGGAACAAACTGGGCCACCCGAGAGAATCAGCTGGCCCCGTCCACTCCGAACCGCCCTCCGTCGGCATCGCCCGCGTCTTCTCAATATTTTGGCCTCGCCGAACGGGAGCGGGTCGGAAACGACGGGGATTCGATCAGCTTCCACATCGAATCGGCCCCGCGCCGAAGCGGCGAGGTCGGCATCGGAATCGCACATTGGAATGCCCGCATCGAGCCAGATGGAGTCGGAACCCAGGAGCACGCAGGACGCAGGACGCACGAGTCTGCCAGCAGGCCGGCCGACAGGCCCCGTAGGGCGCGGCGCGGGTGGGCCAGAGCCCTCTCGCACCTCGGCGAACGTCAGGGCATCCGTCTCCGATATCTCCCATAAGTCGCTATTTGTCGCATGATGCAACCACGTATCGATCCCTACTGCGGTCGTCTGCAAAAGCTGTGGGATATCATCGCTCCACAGTCTGCGCTGTCCGCCATGCCGGCGGCAAACTGCCCGATGGTCGAAGATGTCAGGCTCCCACGCCGCAGCCAAGCGGGTCCATCTGAGATGCGGTTGTGCTGTGACTCCCCCTGCCCATCGCCAGCTGCGCTTGTAATGTAAGGCTGTCCATTCCTCCTCGTGTGCACGCTTGGCAAGGTCCGTTGCTGCATGTGTAGCTCTGCTATGGAAGCTCTTCCAAGTCTACAGGCCGGAGTTAGAGTCGTCGTCGTCGTCGTCGTCAACGCCGTCGAAATCAAGGTGCCTTCTGATGTCCACCGTGTTGCCGTCGCTTGTGCTGCTGCCGTGCTGTCCAGAGTCGGAGCTGCCGACGTTGTCCGCGGTTGTCGTGGTGTCCGTCGGCACCTCGAAGTGTTGACAATGAGTCGTAGCATGCGTCGCTGGACACGTTGGAGTGTCAGAAGCATGTCTTTGGTGAGTGTCCACAAATGTGTATCAGTACATGACGGTTTGTGTCGCGAGTCTGCTGGAAAACAGCAGTCTGCAATTTCAAGGGATTATGGCATTACTTAGCAGTTAGCTCGTTGCGGAACTGGTTAAATTTGCGCCACCCCATTGCAAGTCTGTCGGTGAATTCCGCGCGATGGTATTCGTGAAGTGATAGTCTGCAGCGAAGGTGTAAAGTTGGTGCTCTGCACGCCGCCGAGGATCTCAGCGAACTGGTTCGCCTTGGGCGATCGGTTCGAATCGGCCGGGCGGCGTCGGACAGCGCCCTGCTTCCTCCCATCACGCACAACTCGGCGCCCGACGACTGGAAGAGGCCCCCCGAGCGAACGGGGGGCCAAGCTGGGCAGCCCGAGCGAGTCCGCGGGCCCCGCCCGCTCCGAACCTCCCCCCCCCCACGAGAAACCAGCCTGCGCCCCAGGATCGGAGGGCGCCCCTTTCGTGCGCGAGCGGCCCCACTCCTCCGGCAGCAGCGCGCGCGAGGAGCGCGCCGACCTCGGGCGGGAGCGAGGAGCGCAACCTCCGAGGAGGGGGTCCTTGGCTCTGAGGCGAGTGCTCATCGTTACCCTCCCTCCTCCCTCCGGCTCCTCCTCCTTCTCCACCTCTCTCTCCTCCTCCTCCTCCTCCTCCTCCGACTCCTCCTCCTCCTCCTCCTCCTCCTCCTCAGCATCAGCATCAGCATCAGCAGCATCAGCAGCTGCAGCATCATCATCATCATCATCAGCAGCAGCATCATCAGCATCATCATCATAATCATCATCAGCATCCTCGTCATCAGCATCAACAACGCCAGCATCATCATCAACAGCAGCATCATCATCCTCATCCTCATCATCATCCTCATGATCATCCTCCTCATCATCAGCATCAACATCAGCGTCAGCATCAGCATCATCATCATCATCAGCATCATCATCGTCGTCGTCATCATAATCAGTATCCTCTCATTTCTCCTCCCCGTCCTCCTCCTCATCCTCCTCCTTCTCATCATCATCATCGTCATCATCATCATCATCATCATCATCATGATCATCATCATCATCATCATCATCATCATCATCATGATCATCAACATCATCGTCATCATCATCATCAGCATCAGCATCAGCATCATCATCATCCGTATCAGCATCATCATCATCATCATCATCAGCAGTATCAGCATCATCACCATCAGCATCATCATCAGCATCATCGTCGTCGGCGTCATCATCAGCAGCAACACCAGCATCAGCATCAGCATCAGCACCAGCATCAGCATCAGCATCATCCTCATCCTCATCCTTATGATCATCATCCTCATCATCATCATCATCAGCAGCATCAGCATCAGCATCAGCATCAGCATCAGCATCATCATCATCATCCTCATGATCATCCTCCTCATCATCAGCAGCATCAGCATCAGCATCAGCATCAGCATCAGCATCAGCATCAGGATCAGCATCAGCATCGTCATCATCATCATCATCAGCATCAGCATCAGCATCAGCATCGGCATCAGCATCAGCATCGTCATCATCATCGTCATCATCAGCATCAGCATCATCATCATCATCATCATCATCATCATCATCGTCATCAACATCATCATCATCATCATCATCATCATCATCATCATCATCATCATCATCATCATCATCATCATCATCATCATCATCATCATCGGCATCATCATCGGCATCATCATCGTCATCATCGTCATCGTCGTCAATGTCATCGTCATCGCTCCGCTCGCCGGCGCGCGGCCATCGCTCCCGACGACGCGACGAGGGAGCCGACGCAACTCGCCCCGGCGTGGGCGCAACTTTCATGGGAGCCCCTGCGCGGCGTGGAGGCGAGAATGACGCGTTGATCGACGGCGAGTGAGGGGGGGAAGTGAGAAGGAGAGGGCCTTCTCAGAAGGTTCGGAAGTCCCCGGGCCTTCTGAGAAGTTGTCTGAGCCTTCCCCGAAGAAACACAAAACTTGCTTCTAAGGAGTCCCGCCGCATTCTGAGAAGGCCTTCGCCTTCTCACTTCCCCTCCTCGCTCGCCGCCGAGTTGAGGTGCAGCCCTGCAACCCGACGGCTGGACGAGCGAAAAGTGCGGGCCGCGCCCAGAATCGAGGGTGCTACAACCCTCTGCGAAATCAAACGCAAATTTTGTCTAACCCCCCCCCCCAGCCCCCCCGTTGCAATGTTCGGCGACGCGCGCAACACGGCCCGCGGTGTCCCAAGACATACAAGTCGCCAGTTTCGATGCGAACGCTGACATTGGGGGTCTGGGGGCACCGCCACTTCGCGGAACAAAAACTTGCGTTTGATTTCGAGGAGGGTTGTAATACGGCTTTCGAGAAACCGACTCGACGCCGCGACTACTGCAACAATTCCTCTCTCTCTCTCTCTGGCATGCGCCGCGCCGGAGGGGGCGGGAACACAGCGGCTGCGACCACTCTGCTCGGCGCCGAGGTGAGAAAACGACATCCTCGCCCGCCCGCGCGAGACCCCGCTTCCGTCGACTTGGCGAGCGGTCAGTCTTTGCCGCGCCAAAGCGGGAGCTCAGTTTTCAAGAACACCAGCGCGGCTTGGTGGCGAGAGCGACCTGTCAATCTTTCGCGCACGATATGCGCGGCGTGGCGGGCTCGTGGTGCTGTCATGGCGCCGGGTAGGGGGATGGGAGCATATAAACGCAAAGAAAAACACCTTTTAGACCTCCTCCGACTTGGGCATGCCGAGGTCGGCGCTCAATGAGAAAGCGCGGACGTCAGCCAGCCCTGAGGACCCCGAGGGAGCCCCAAACACTCGCGTTCCCCGCGCTCGTCCCTCCGAGCGCCCCCGGCAGTTCCCGCGCGCATATCCGCCACCGTGCCTCTGGGCACGGAATGGGCGTGTCCTCAGGTCCTTTGTCTCATCCTCTTAGCCTTAGTCCTCAGTCCTGAAGAGTTTCTGGGGTCCAGAGCCTAAATTGCCAGGCGGGGCTTGTCCCGTGCCCTCTGGGCTCCCCCGCGGCTGTCTGTATAATTTGTTCGGGACCAAGAAGGCTCCAAGACGGGCCAACAGAGCCCCACGAGACCCGCAGTCGCCGAAAGATTGTTCCAAGACGCCCAAGATGGCCTCCAGATGGCACAAAAGGTTTCCAAGACGCCTCAAGAGACATCCAAGAGGCCTCCCACTATGGTCCCAAAAGGCAGAAAGCATTGATATCCCATCGGTGTTTGAAGGATTTGGACGCTCTCGCCTTTTCGGCCTTCCGACACCCCAAGACGGCCCAGGAGGCCCGCAAGACCACCACAAAACGGCCCAAGAGGCGTCCAAGAGGGCCCAAGACAGCCTACGAGCGCTCCAAGACGGTTTAAGAGGCGCCCAAGACGTCCCGAGAGGGCCCAAGGCGGCCCTAAAGGGGGCCCGAGAAAGGGAGCACGAACCGGAAATCCTAGCCTTCCACCCCCAGAAGCACCCAGGAGGCCTCAAGAGGCGCCCAGGAGGCCCCAAGAGGCCCACAAGAGGCCCCCAAACGGCCAAAAGAGGCCCCAAGAGGTCCCTAACGGCCCCCCAGAGGCCTCCAGACTGCCTCCAAGAGACCCCCAAGAGGCCTCCCACGAGATCCCAACGAACATCCAATAGCCTTCGCAACCACAACCCAGGCACGGTTGCGGGATGGGCCTAAGACCATCAGATATCGGCCATCGTGCCGCGATGCACCGAGCGGAGTGTCCGCAGGTCCCTTCGGGTTCCCTGTTCGAGGCATTCGAACTACTCCTTCAAAAGGGCCCAGGCCCACCGAGCTCCAGAGGCTTCTGGACGCTCTCGTGCGATCCTGGGGCGTCCCGCACGACTCCCCCACAGGGAAGAAAGAACACCGCATGACACTGACGGCTGTCAGCGATGTCGGCCTGGGAGGGGGGAGTCCGAACTGGCCCGAGGAGAGGCACGGTAGCTGGATGGGCCGGATCCGCCGCCCCCTGTTGATTCATCGCAGGGGTGCCCGGCGTGCTGGATCCTTTCGGTTTTGGCTTTGGTTCTTTTTTCAAAAGATCTCCCCCTGGGGCTTCGGCCGATCACGCCGGCCACCCGGAAGGGCGCGCAACAGGTGGCTGCAAAGGGTTTTTCGGCTCCAGACGGCTCCAAGATGGCCTCCAAGATGGCCTCCAAGTTCGCCCAAGATGGTCCCAAGATGGCCTCGAAGACGGCCCAAGAGTCCAGGATGCCTCCAAGTTTGCACAAGAAACACCGAAGACGGCCCAAGACAGCCCCAGAGGCCTCCAAGAGGCCTCCAAGACGGCCCAAGAGGCCTCGAAGAGGTCCTTCAGGGTCCTCAAGGACGGCTCGAAGAGGTCAAAATCATTGATTTTCCCTAGGTTTTTGAAGGATGTTGTTTTTTGCCGCTTTTCAGCTCTCCGACGGCCCAAGACGGCCCAAGCGGCCCCCAACATCGACCCAAGAGCGCCCAAGAGGCCTCCAAGATGGCCCCATGACAGCCCAAGAGGCCCCTAAGACGGCCCCACGATGGCCTCAAAAGACGGCCCAAGAGGCCCCCAAAACGCCCAAGATGGCCTCCAAGACGGCCAACATAATCTCCAAAACGGCCAAGATGGCCTCCAACACGGGCAAGATGGCCCCAAGATGGCCGTCAAGACGGCCCCAGGTGGCCTGAAGATCGCCTTCGACAGCCCAAAAGGGCCGCCAGAGGCCTCCAAGACGGCCCAAGACCCCTCCAAGACGTCCTCCAGGAGGCCCGAAAGCTCGGAAACCACCTGGTCCGATAGCTCGCCCGACTCGGTGTTCCCGAAGGCTTTCGAAACCCACTCGGGGAACGCGTGGCCCGATAGCTTGGCCAAGCTCAAACCCAACTTTCGGCCGCGCAGGCGCTTCTAAAAAGGCAGGGGGCGGCGGTGATTCGCCGTAGGCGTCTTCGATACGAACAAGGACCAAAGACAGGAGCAGGAGGAGGAGGAGGAGGAGAATGCACAGCGTGCGGAGGCAGGACGGGGTCAGAGAGGGAGGAGCAAACGTAGAGCCAAGAAAAGAAGGGCGTGGGGAGATGTGTTCCGTGAGCCGCAGCCCCAGCCCGCAGTGTGACACCGCTCGCTCCTGTCAGTGTCAAACGCCGCGAGGAGGAGGATATTGGGGTGGTGAGCTTCTGGTTGGCAAGGCCCTCGCATCCGCGGGCGGAGGGCCCCCTTTTCCGTGAGCGGCGCCCGCCTCGTCCACGAGTCGGGGTCGAACTGCTGCAGGGACAGCCCCAGCCCCTTCGGACCGCAGATGAGCATGCCTGGGCTACGCAGGCCATCCAACCCCGTCCTCCTTCTCCTCCTCCTGCTCCTCCTCCTCCTTCTCCTCCTCCTCCTTCTCCTCCCTCCTCCCTCCTCCTCCTCCTCCTTCTCCTCCTCCTCCTCCTCCTCCGCCTTCTCCTCCGCCTCCTCCTCCTCCTCCTCCTCCTCCTCCTCCTCCTCCTCCGCATCCGCATCCTCCTGCGCAGCTGCCTCCTCCACCACATCTCCCTCCGCAACTCCTCCTGATTCCTGATGATTGATTCCTGGTGGCGTGAGGATCCGTCGAAGGCTGCCCTCACCACCCCTCAAGGCTGGTCGGCCGTGGGGGGTCATCAGAGTCATGAGCCAGGCGACTCCTGGAGCGTTCGCTCGCGGAGTCGACGGCTCGTGAGGTATTTGGTTAAAGGTAAACGACTAGGGTGCCTGGCAGCGGCGTGCTGCGGCACACGGCGGATATTCTGGTCTCCTCCTCCTCCTCCTCCTCCTCCTCCTCCTGCTCCTCCTCCTCCTCCTAAGGACGTTGCCAGGCGGCAAGACTGGCGGACTTGCACATTCTCACG